AAAAAATTAACAACAAAAAATGTGCTAATCCTATAATAAAATTAATTCCCTTTGTTTTAAATTGATACCAGTGTTTCACCAAAGGCACGAGAATTCAAAAGGAAAACAGATTTTAACATTGCTCAGATTTTAAAATTCAAGACTTGAACGTGATTGAAAGACACATGCCAAAAATGTCTTCAATTATACGCCTAATAACCTGTTGCTGTTTTTTTCAAAATGAGATTATAGAGGAAAGCATCTTGAGAGGTGCCATCTGAGAAGACATCTATTAAAGTAGTTCTAAATGTCTAAATGAGTAAAGCTAGAAGTAAAAATATTTCATTTTGAACAATTACTTGTTAAGCCAAGCTTATGTTATAATATGCTTGAGAAACATTTAAAGTATTTACATTGTGCCCTTTTCCCACAGGGATACTTTTATTTAACACAAATTGAAAGTGAAAGTGCTTCAACTGAGGTCTAACTGTCCCTCAAATGTATCTGAGCTGAATTCATAACCCTCACTCTCCAAGGAGCTTCTTCCCTTGAACCGGAGTGGGACTTTTAATTCTGCAGATCAGGCAATAGTTTATCAACCGATTCCTCTACCTTAATCCTGAGCCAACTCTTCCAGCTTGCTTTATTTCTGTCTCTGCCATAGGGCAATGTGGAGGGGGGTGTTTTCTCCCTCTCTGAGGTATACATACACACATACCATGGAAGATGCAATCTGAATACTAATAAGTGCTTTAACACAGGCTTCTGAGCATTGCCAGAGTTTTTATAGCAGCCATTAATTAGTAAGTATGTTATAGTTTCAACTCTGTGTTAGTGCTTTTTTATTTATTATTTCAACTTATGTTCAACTATTATCTTTAAAGCGCTCCATGGCATCGGACCTGGTTATCTTCGAGACCGCCTCCTGCCACAGATTACCCCCCACCGACCTGTACGCTCTCACAGAGTGGGTCTCCTCAGGGTGCCGTCAGCCAGACAGTGCCAGCTGGCGACCCCAAGGGGGAGGGCCTTCTCTGTGGGAGCTCCCACCCTCTGGAACGAACTGCCCCCAGAGATCAGGGTGATCCCTGATCTCCCTTCCTTCCGCCGCGCCCTCAAGACGTGGTTGTTCCAGNAACTAAGGAGAAACTTCCTGACAGTTAGAACAATTAACCAGTGGAACAATCTGCCTCCAGAAGCGGTGAATGCACCAACACTGGAAGTTTTTAAGAAGAAACTGGACAGCCATTTGTCCAAAATGGTATAGGGTTTCCTGCCTGAGCAGGGGGTTGGACTAGATGACCTCCAAGGTCCCTTCCAACTTTATCATTATTAGAATGAAGTGTAATCTTAAAACATATAAAAAGCCCATAAAACCATCTAAAAGACTAAGTAACAGAATCCATAGCCAAGGTCTAAAAAAATTAATCTACACTCAGCACAATCACTGTACAGGCACTACTGCACAGCCAAATCCCCAAGCCTGGTGGCACAGACACATCTCTTCTCTCCATTTGACCTATTCTACCTGATCTGTTCTACTCTTCCTGGGGTCCCAGATGACAGACCACAAAGCATTCCCCTTCTGTTGGACCTAATGGGATGGGTAGATGTAATTGGGGGGGTTATTCCTCAAATAACCCAGTCCTGTGCCATGAAGGACTTTGCAGGTCATCACCAGCACCTTGAATCACACTCAGAAGGGTTCAAGAAGAAATTGGTCAGACAATTAGAACTAGTGGAAAGCTGGGGGATTTTGTATTTGACAATTACAGCATAGTGTGTTAAGTTCTAGGTTCTTGATGCTTAACAATAAATGCATCCTATTTTCTTTGTTTCATGATCTTGGCAATGGTATGTTATTGAACAGGTCCATGCATACTTGACCTGGCTTTACAAGCCTATAATAAATTGTATGGCCTCTGAAGTACTATGGAAAACAAACCTAATCTTGTCTTTGCAAGGTCAAGTGAGAAGACAGAGGAAAACGAAAGCCGTAAATATTGTAGGAGAAATACATTCAGAAATTCCCTTACTGATTTTTCTCCAACAACACTACCACCATATATACAGAAAAAGAGTTAATTGCAGTTATTTCCTTAGTTTTCTTTAGGGACATTCAGAAAATGAAAATCACAAAGGACATGTCAGATCTGAATGGCAATAATATACAATGAATACTAGAGGACCCTACAATTAGCCTCAGAGACACTATCAAAACACTGTACCATCTCTAATTTTATGCCTTGTGATAACAAAACTAGCAGTTTAAAATTTTACAACAGTAATGTCCACAAAAGTTACTCTCAGCCAGGAATATTCTTTGACAAATAGAAATGACATAATTGTTAAGCCGGAATTTTAATTATCTTTCCCAAGTTATAACATCTGGGAGAATCACCTGAGAGGGTAGGGGTTTACTCTGCCATTCTGCTCTTCATAGGCTCTGTTCAAATCATCCCAGCAAGTCATAGTTTAAGTACAGCTTGTTTAAAGAGTTTGGCCTCACTCTAAACAATGGTTAACAATGCAAAATGGATGTTTTTATATTTAATGCTATGCCAAAATCAAAGAGATCAACAATATAGTTTTGCTTGTTGATTATTTCAACTATTGGACCAGATCCAGATATCCAACTGTAGATGACAGTCACGTGAAAATGACTTTCCTTTTATACATCCTCCCATCAGCCCACAGAGATGCTTTAACATGCTCCAAGGATCAGGAGATCTTGCTAAGTGGAGGAGGATGGCACAGCCATCCTCAAAGGGGACAACAGGGGACCCAGTCACACAAAAGCTAAAACTTGTGCCATCTTTCATGTGTACTGTCATTTTGGATTTTTATAGTTTGTTGTGGATGCCCACCAAGTGGAAAGGGGGAATGATATAAAAATAGGCAGCAATTCATATTCATCTGCTGCATATTCAGAAGATGCTTCTGCCAATACTTCAAATGTCTCACAATTTTCTCACAATGCTCCTTTCCAGGCAACAGGGAGCCTCTTGCAAAGACTGGCAAGAAGAGGATAACCAGAATTCAATTATTCCCTGCTCCTCACCTCTGTCTACATCCAATCTACCACAGATATAAAGTGAGTATATATTATAAAACAAAGCGACCACCAAGAGAAATCTATAAAACATA